GGTGTGATTCAGTTCTGTTATTTCTTAGCTGACTTTTTGTCTCATTGATCTATCTCTTTGTGACAGTGGGTTATTAAGGTATCCTATATCAATTGTGTTCTTATATATTTGATTTTCCATGTCCATTAGTATTTGTCTTATATAGTTGGGTGCTCCTGTGTTTGGTGCATATATATTTATAACTGTTAGTTCTTCCTCTTGCAGTTTTCCACTTACAAGTATGTAGTGACCTTTACCTCTTTTAATTATTTTAGGTTTGAAGTTCACTTTGTCTGCAAACAGAATAGCTACCCTTGCTTTTTTTCTGGATTCCTGTTGCATGGAATACTGTTGTTCATCCTTTGACTTTTAGTCTATGAGTCTCTTTTTGAATCAGATGTGTTTCTTGTATACAGCATATGGTGGGATCATGTTTCTTGATCCATTCTGTCAACCTGCTTCTTTTGACAGGTGAATTGAGTCCATTTAAATTTATGGATATCATTGATATGTACTGGCTTGACTTTCCCATATTATGTTTTTGTTGTTGGTTTCTTGCTTTCCTCCCTTAATTTCTTGTCCAGCCTGGTGGTTTCTTTTTGTTGTTGTTCTGGAGACTGTGGTCATTTTTATCTCTTTCTAATATGTCTTTCTTCTTCTTTTTTTTTTTTTTGGTCTTTTTCCTTTTTATCGGTACCAGGGATCAAACTCACGACTGCCTGCTTCCAAGGCAGGTGCTTATGCCGCTAAGCTAAATCCCCAGCCCCTCTAATATGTTTTTTAATACTCTTTCTAGGGGGGCTGGGGATTTAGCTCAGTGGCATAAGCGCCTGCCTTGAAAGCAGGCAGTTGTGAGTTCGATCCCTGGTACCGATAAAAACAAAAAGACAAAAAAAAAAACCAAAAACCAATACTCTTTCTAGGGTTGAGTTGGTAGATATGAATTTCTTCAGTTGTTCTTTGTCATGGAAGTATCTTGTTTCTCCATTAAATTTGAAAGACATTTTTCTGGGTACATCAGTCTGAGTTGAAAGTTGTTTTCTTTAGGGCTTGAAATACTTTAAGCTTGTCTTAACCTGAAGGTTTGTGCTGAGAAGTCTGCCATGATTCTAATAGGCTTTCCTTGATAGATGAGTTGTGTCTTTTCTCTAACAGCTTTTAGTATTCTGTTTTATACTGTCTTTTAGGATCTTAATTATTATATGTCTAGGTATAGATTTATGTTGGTTATGACTGTTTGGTGTTCTGTATGCTTCATTGATTTGTATGGCAGTTTTTTTTGCTATGTTTAGGAAATTTTCTGCTATTACTTCTGTGATGTTTTAATATTTAGATCTGAGATCCATTTCAAATTTAATTTAGTGCATGGTGAAAGATATGGATCCAACTTTAATCTTTGGCATACACAGAGCCAGTTTTTCCAGTACCATTTATTAAAGAGGCTATCTTTCTTCCAGTGAATGTGTTTGGCACCTTTGTCAAAGATAAGGTGACAGCATGGCTGGAGTTGTTTCTGCATCTTCTGATCTGTTCCATTGATTTTTAGGTCTGTTTTTTTTTTTTTTTCCAATACCATGCTGTTTTTATCACTGTAGATTTATAGTATAATTTCAAGTCAGGGATTGTGATGCCCTCTGTCTTGCTTTTGTTGCCAGGATTGCCTTGCTATTCTAGGTCTCTTCTGTGAGTTATACTATTGGAGCTTTGAGCACAATTACAGCAAATCTGGGTAACAGTTTTGGAAGTATGGCCATTTTCACTACATTGGTTCTTCTTACCCAAGAGCAAGGAATGTCTTTCCATTTATTTTGTTTCTTTCTTTCTTTCTTTCTTTCTTTCTTTCTTTCTTTCTTTTTCTTTCTTTCTTTTTCTTTCTTTCTCTTTGTTTCTTTTTCTTTCTTTCTCTTTCTTTCTTTCTCTTTCTTTCTTTCTTTCTTTCTTTCCTTTCTCTTTCTTTCTTTCTTTCTTTCTTTCTTTCTTTCTTTCTTTCTTTCTTTCTTTCTTTCTTTCTTTCTTGTCTTTTTGACACAAAGTCTCCCTATGCAGTTCAAACTGGCCTTGAGCTCACTTTATAGCCCACGCTGGTCTTGAACTAGCAATGATCCTCCTGCCTCAGCCTCCGAAGTGCTGAGATTACAGGCATGCGCCACCACACCTGACTCCATTTTCTGATATCCTCTTCAGTCTCCTTTTTCAGAGTACTATAGTTTTTAAAGTAGAGATCTTTTACATTCTTGATTTCCAGGGTTTTTTGGATGCTGTTGTGAAAAGTGTTTTCCTAATTTCTTTGTCAATGAGTTTGTTACTGGTGTACAGGAAAGCTATTGATTTCTGAGTGTTGATTTTGTATCTAGCTATGCTACTGAATTTGCTTATTAAATCCCGTAGCTTCTCAGCCCATCAGTGTTGGACTAGCCAGTATTCTCCTTTTGTTTTAGCACCAGAAGGATGGGAGTGTTGCATAGAGACTGACAAATAAAAGACTATGTGTGCAGAATTTAGAAATGACAGGCTGAAATCCCTGGCAGACCTCTGACTTGATGGTATAGTGTTATTCATGACAGTAGATATTGGAAAATAAATTTCGGGGTATGTCAGTAGGAGGCCCAGAAAATATTTAGCAGGAAAAAAAATACACATTAAGAGAGGAGAGAAGCTGTTCAAAGAGTGAGATACATCATGGCCTGGAGCTGGGTACAATTCTGAGGTCTTGGGGCATGCTCAAGATGGGTGGTGTAGGGTGTGTATTTCTATTGTCTGACCAGTACCTGAAGTTGAGATATGTTGACCTGTTTCCTTGTGGATGAGGTCTGTGGGTGGAAGAGCCATTTACAGGCTTTCTGTGTCTTCAGACCCTTGGATTGTTTGTTTTTTGGAGTGAGTTTCCTGGAGGAGAAAAAGGCATTGTCACCTTGGGTAATTTTTGTGTTCATGAAGCTACAGGTTTTTTTTTTAAGGTGTAATTTTACAATTACAATTTTCTTGTCTCCTTTCTACCCACTTTATTTTTTCTAGTCTACTGCATCATGTTCATATCTTGTTTATATGTTTCAATGTACCCATACAATTTTTAAAAATCTAGGTTTGTACCTCTCCATAAAATGTAAAATATTTTACATTTTACATATGAGAATGTATTGCATTTTCCATTTCATTTGGTTTTGTCTTCACAGATAAGTACTGACTTTTGTATATATAGTGCTTTAATAAGTTTTATGAATTCTTATAGTTTTCACTAATACCTTCTGTGTTTAATTAGAAAGGTGAATTCCCTAGGTGAACAAAAGCAGGTAAGATTTCTAAATGAAGGGAGGAGTGAATGCTTCTTGTCTTAGAACCATAGTTTTAATAACAAGATTTCAGACCAGTGGTCCCCAGATTTTGCTGTCAGAAGTGAAGTGTTAATATTTTTAAACATCCTACGATGCTTGCAGTTTACAGCAAAGCTGTGAGCTATTGCTTTAGACCAGCATTCAGCAAACTATGGTCTGCAATTCAGACCCTGTCCTTTTAAAGGAAAGTTTTATTAGAGCACACTCATCTCATTTGTTTATTGTAGTTCATTATGTTTTTATCCTGCAACTGCAGAACTGAGTTGTTGTGAAAAAGGCCATATGGCTCACAAAACTTAAAATATTTATTATCTAGCCTTTTTCATAGAAAAAGATAAAGGGGAATAGAATCTTCTTGCTGGCTTGTTCATGTAGGCTTTTACTAGTGTTTTAGAAGACTTTGCTTTAGTGAGAAAGGAAGTCCCCTTTCTTCCTACCTCCTGTGGACTTAGCTGGTATGAATCAGTATGCTATTTGAATTGTTACGATTCTCAGTACATTAATTCAAGGATGGAATTTACTAAGCTTCTACTGTGTGTCAGAGGCTTGAGTTAGTTTAGGGGACAGGACACAAGGGACATCACGACATGTAATATGCATGAAGCTTTTCTTCACTGAGTTGGGGTAGGGTAAGAGACAGTAGAAATATGTAAAACTAAGTTGGATGGTAATAACTTACAATGAAGAAAACACAGCATGGAAACACTTGTGAAAAGGGGACATTCGAGCAGTGACCTGAAGGTGCTAACATGAGTCATCTGGAGATAGAGGGAACGGCTGGATTCCAGGCAGCAAGAGCTACCAAGTACAAGGATGCGGAAGTGGTGATGCAGGGGAGGCCGCGTGGCTGGAGCAGACTGAACCAGGTGTGTGTACAGGCGCAGTGTGGCCTGAGAGGCAGTCTGATTAGTTAGCATTCTGTGGGCCATCGCGATGACTGTGGCTTTCACAGAAAAAGTAAAATAGGAAGCCAGTCGGGCATTTGTTGACTCCGGTGATGCAAGCTCATATATTTAAACAGGATCTTTCCGGCTGCTGTGTTGAGAATGGATTGAAGAAAGCCAAGAACATGGTTGAGGAGACCCCCTGGGAGTCTACTGCAGAGTTCCAATCACTGCATTATGGTAGACTGGAGCAGGGTGGTAGCAATACAAAGTGCAGTTCAGATGTTCTCAGTCCAGCTTCTAAGTACTGCCTGTTCCTCTCAGGATCTGACATTCGGTAACTTTCTGTGCTTTGCAAGTTTCTGTCCTTTTCATGGTTGGTCAATACCATTTTGATCTAGATATTGTCTTAAAAATTCAATTGTACTTATGACCCTACTTAACATGCTTAAAACATCGTGGATGCTTGCTAAATTCTTAACAATGAATGCTGTGGTTTCAGAACCATGTTTCTATTATTACTGTTTTTCTCCTCCTGTAAGTAGTATGTACATCACACAGTAGCTATTTCATGCGTTTAGCTTAACTTTAACCTTAATCTAATATTGAGACCTTTCTGAGTTTCATTTCACATATTTGTATATATTCTATACACATGTGATTATGTATGTATATGAATTTATTTTTCAGAAATCTGTAAATAATCATAAATACAAGCTTATATAAGTTCACTGAAGAGTAAAAAGGGGATTGATTGGCTTATGAGGAAAAAATTTCAAAGACAATATGAAAAAGTGAGGTAAAATTATTATTTACAGATAAGCCTTTTATTTGCAAGGAAAATATAAAATATCAATTGAAAGGCTAATGTAAGCAGTAAGGTATCTTAGTACACAGCAATATGGAGAGCTATGTATGTATATCGAAACACTCAAAAGATGTAATGAAAGATACACTTAAAACAGTATTAACAATAATTGATCAAACAATGAACACGAGGTATAAATTCATGTCAGGCTGTCAGCCCTTAACTAACAAAACAACGGTACGAGTAGCACCTCACTTGCATCCTAAGAGTTCTAAGCTAGTAGGTATGGGGTGAGGCCTGGAAGGTCACCTTTAACACTCTTTAATTCGCCCAGCAAATACCCTCAACCATCAAATACATAGCTATTCTATAATTAGTAAGTAAAAATCATAAAAATATTTTATAAACTATATTAGAGAAACATAACTTCAATATTATTTGTTTTCATCCTTCTGATACTTCCATTCAATTTAGGAGTGGGTAATTCTGTAGAAGTAGCTACAAATCAGTACTCAAACTTCAGTTTAAAATACATATTAGTGGGAGCCAGGGATTTCGGTCAGTGGCATAAGTGATACCTAGCAAGCGCAAGGTCCCTTGAGTTCAATTCTTGGTACCAAAAAAAAATACATATTAACATATTTCTGTGTGGCCCTAGAGCATTCATTTCTTACTTTTCTTCACGCGTGTTTGGAGTGGTGTGGGCTTTAAGCCACCGATCGATGGCACTTTCATACTTCCTCGGCTCTTTTAGCCAGTCCTGGTGCCATCTGAGGTTTGCTATGACATTTGAGTAATTTTGGCCCACGCTTTGTTTCCACATGATGAACTGCTCTTTATTGTACTGGTGGACAGAAGCGGAAACTTTAGGGTAGTTGACAATAGAACGAAGCTTCTGATCTAAAGAAGAAGTGATTTCTGGAAATTTCGCAGCGATGTTTGTTAGTTCGTCTGGATCCAAAGAAACATCTGAAAAAAAAAAAAAAGAAAAGAACCTGTCACATTAGTTATCTGCTAAATGATTTCAAGAATATCATTATGACAGATGTTAAGATTTTTATTTTCAGTTCCTCTTGGTGTAGTAAAGTAAGCACAGTATCCAGCCACGTATCACAGTGTTTAAGTTAACAAGGGCTGCTGTACCAGTGGGGGCAACCTGTGGCACGTGTGTGCAGCCAGCTGTTTGTTACCACTAATGGCTCTAAGGGGTTCACCCTTACTGGCCTCCACTACGATGGTCCCATAAGACATAGGCATATCACCTATTGACATCACAGCCAATTTAATGTGCAAGGACACTCTATGATGCTGGTGCAATGATGAACTAGCTGAGTGATGTATTTCTTAGCATCTGTTCCACCTTTAAGTATGATGTGCACCATAAAATACCACACCAGAAATTCAATCTTTCTGTAAGGACTGTTCAGATTATCTTCTTTGCTACCGTCATCCTGCTACCTCACTTTATTTTTCTTATCCACTCTTAGATGCCAGCCTTTGTTATTAGTAAGATGACTTGGAACTAAATCGTCCTGTTTCTGATGCCTTGCCTCCTTTGACATACAAAGGGAAGAAAATAATGATGTCTATAGTGTCCCATTTCAACAGCTCTATACTTTCCAGCTTAAGAATTCCCTATAAAACAAGTTATGGTCCAGCATCTTCACTTAAGTCTAATTTTCTTTATATTATTAGCATTTATATGCTGTTCATTTGAGCAAACTGCCATGGAAATACAGACTTTTCTCAATCAGTACCCATGAGTAAATGGTGATAAACACTTCATAGGCATAAGCTTGTTTTTTGTACAGGGAATTGAACTTACAATCTCACAATTGCTAGGAAGGCACTGTGCCATGAAGCTACACACATCGCTGGCTCTAAACACTCTCTTTACATATGTAATCAAAGACAGAAGATATTAACTAGATGCCAATTAACTGGAAGACAGCCTATCAAAAATGACAGTTAACTTCAGATGGGAAATGAACACTGTATGTTGGGCTGTTTGAGTTCGTTAGCCAGGAGACCCTGAAGGACATGTACTACTTTGCCAGGCGACTTTAAATGACATCTCTTTAGGAGAGGGAAGTCTGTGAATAAAGCCCGAGGGAACACAGGAAAGGCTGGCTCCTCAAAGTGATCCTTTAATAGGCACTTCTGTTTTATGCAGAATATAGTGTGAAAAAAGAAAATCTCAAACAAATTTAGCGTTAAGATTTAAAAGTCTTTTATTTAGAGACTTATGAATTGGGCGCTATCCTAATGAACAAGAGAAGGTATTCTGATGAGCTGGGTGGTGTAGGAAGAGCTTAGATGAGAAGAGGGGAAGAATGTAGAAATAGAACACAGTCTGGGGTTAAAAGTTACTTTGCTTATAATGGTTAAAACAGAGGGGAAATCCTTGTCCCCTTCTGATTGGTACTGTGAATGTTCTGTCCTTTTACAAATTGACCTTTTTTTATAGTTCAGTTTGAGTACATGGCAGTGAGCATGGCTGACTCCATTCTGGTTTGGTCTGTTTTGCTGGGCCTAGTGCAGGAACTCAGCCCCCATAAATTTAACAATGACCAGTGAATAAGCAAGAGATGCTTATTACTCATCAGGATGATAATTTAAGGACTTCTTTTTGAAGCTAAGAATCCCTAGCTCTTAGAAGTAAGGAAGTTAGTTTGGCTGCTTAAGTAATTATTTGGAGTTAGTAATATTGACATTTGTAACTAGGAAGGAGAAATAAACATTAATAATGGCCTTAGAACATTTTATATATATAAGATGAAGACAAAGGATAAACACTAAATCCAAAATGCTGTTTAAAAATGAATTCATAGACCTATGGGGCTGGCAGGCATTTTAATAGAGTGACGGGAGCACGGATCATGGAGTTGGTCATATGTTGAAGGCTCAGGTCTGTTACACAGCTATCTGAACCTCCCCGACTCTTCTTTTCTGTAACATGAGAATGGTATACTATCTTGTAGGGCTGTGGTGAACGCTGAATAATTAATGTAGAATTGTCAGGCTCCATAGAAGATAGGTGTTGATCTTTCAAAACAGGTGAAACCTAGGTGTGAGGAGAAGGAGCTGACTGCTGACTAGGAAATACAGTAATGAGTAATAAAAGATTACTGATCTGGGAAAATGCTGATTTCAGTCAGGGGACCCAGATCCAAAGCCTGAGGCACTTTCTCTGACATTCACATGCTAATTTGCAAGGAAGCAGCTCCTCACTGGGTAACCTTTTTGCAGCCTGTGCCATGGTAAGAGACTCCAGATATTCCTTAACAATTTTATCAAATCTCTTAAGCAGTGCCTAGGTAGGTCAACTTATTAGATACACTGTACTTAAAAATATACCAACAAATTTACCAAACAGTTGAGGCGATACTGAAACACCATCAGAATAGGCTATGTATTTCCACCGGTCGGTGCGAAGCATGTAGGTGGAAGCATTCACATTGCATCCATGGTATTCACTCAGAATCCAGGGTGGATGGAAGTTTGTAAAGTTATGTTCATTCTTAGTCGGTTCTGATGATAACGGCAACAGAGAGTATCCACTTAGGTTCTGAGGTACAGGAATCCCAGCGATATCTTTGTAACGAAAACAAAATTTTCTTAAGTCATTCTCTCACTAGTCGAACACTTCTAAATGATACTTATATATTCTCTATCATTAAAGATCACAGGGCTCACTTTTAAGGTACTAGCATTTTCTAAAACATACCTGGAGAATCCTGGATCATACTGATTTAGGGAAAAAAATCTTTTTTTTTTTTTTTTTTTTTGTCTTTTTCCTTTTTATCGGTACCGGGGATCGAACTCACGACTGCCTGCTTGCAAGGCAGGCGTTTATGCCGCTGAGCTAAATCCCCAGCCCCTAAATCATTTATTTTTTAATCTATCAAATACAGACACATAGAGAGGCTAGGTGTGGTGGTGCATGCATGTCATCCCAGCACTCTGGAGGCTAAGGCAAAAGGATCACCATGAGTTCAAGGCTAGCTTGGACTACCTAGTGAGCTCAAGGCCAGTAATAATTACATAGCCACACCCCCTCTCAAAGGCCAGAGCAAATCAAACAAATACAGATGGACAGAAAAATGGTATGAGAAATGTCCCACCTGACAGATTTTACGTAAACTTCGTATAATTAGACTGTCTGGGTTCAGATGCTCACCCTGTTAGCCACGAGACACTATGTTACTGACTTCTCCAAACCTCAGATTCCTCATCTGTCAAGAGGGATCATAATAGCTCTTGTATCTCACAGATTCGTTTTAGGTTTAAATAACATAATTTATATAAAATTCTAAGAACATGCCTGGCACATAAGAGCCTTCCCTAAATAGCAGTTGATATCATCAGTTTTTTTATTTTCTGAATAAATAATTGCAGATGTTTCTCAAAGTTTGTTAGATGTCATTAACAAGATCTTATATAAGAAAGGGGTTTAGTAATTCTATGTGTGCAGCAAAATGGTTACACAACTCGGTTGTGTAAACTCGGTTAATTTATTGTAGATGTAAAGTTATTGCTGATGCATGTTATAAATCTTCAAGAATGGCACTCAGTATATAGCATAGGTCCCAGTTAATTGACAATAAAGCCTTTTTCCTTCTTCAGTAGCATCTTTAAAGAGACTAGCATTTTGTAAAATGTACCTTGAGGAATCTTGGCTTAAAATGTCTTAAGATATACTACTTTATTTTTTTACGACTGAATATAGACACATAGAACATAAATATGAGAAACATCTGACATAAAAAGAGACTGTATTTTTAAAAACCAGCCAAGTATTTGGAATGCAAGCTGCCTTTTTTCTGTATAAAAATCACCACTGGTTACAGCTGCAGTCAGGACACCTCCGATATGAGCCTCCAACCTTTTTTTCTGCTCTCAGGCTCCATAATTTAAATATTCCCAATAAAAAATGGGGAACACACTGCTACATTCGCTGCTAGGAGATTTGTGATGGTTTACATTCCCAGCAGCTGCATCCGGGAAGCTGTTTCTAGAAAATTTTCTAACTCTTCTTAATCTGTGTAAACTCCATGTGTGAAATAAAAATGGTATGTTCTGGTTTAACAGCTTTACTAACTGCCGAGTCAGCTTTACTGACTGCCAATATCTTGGCCGCATGCATAACTTCTGTGGTGGACTGCTTGATACAGGTCTGTAGTTAAGTGTGTCAGCAGGTAATTTCTCTGTTTTACAGATTTATAAGAGCTTTATAGATGTTAAACCTTTGCTATTTATTTATTTATCCGTTATTTTGACAAGGTTAATTTTAATTGATTAATGCTATCATCAGTGTCATCTCCTGGCTTCCACACAAGGCCCCATTCTCCTTCCTCTCTGCAGAACATGTGGGCTTCTGAGTTTTACATAAAGACTGCTGCACAGGCATCCTTTTCCAGGCCCTCTGATTGCCGCCCCCAGTCCTGAAAAACAGCTTTCGCCTTCTGCTAATAAAAAGAGTATTTGTCACGTAGCTCATCATAAACTGTGCTGGCAGATAGCAGACTAGTTTCCAGTACAAAGCTGGAGAGAGACTTATTTTTTGATCCTACTTTCTTTGCTTTTTATAAGCACAGCTAATCAACATATGATCTAAATGTTAAGAATACACATATATACACACACATTTTTTTTTTTTTTTGAGATAGGGTCTTGCTATATAGTTCAGGCTGGCCTCTAAAACTCACTATGTAGCCAAGGCTGGCCTTGAACTTGTGGCAATTCTCTCTAACACTGTACAAAGTTAATAGTTTCAAATGGGTAGAATAATCTGGAAAGAAAATGCTTAGGTTTTAGGGAGTGGTGAAGAGTGAAATGATGTTCAAACCATCTATATAGTTATGGCCTGAATGTCTCAACTAGGTCATATCCTGAATGTGAATCTTCGGAAGGATAAATGACCGTAAGTGGGTGAAGGCCATGGGAACCTTAGGAATATTTACTTCCTTTTTCAGGGTATGCACGTGATTCAGTTAAATGAGCTGCTCAAGGTTAAAAAAGTCTGTGGGGCTTCTGATTCCTTTGCTTGTTCGTTTTCCAACATTATTACAAGTAAATACTTGCAGAATCGTTTCACTTACCAAGCATAGTAGGGTAAATATCCACTAGAGAGACTACACTTGACACTTGTAGTTTGGCCTTAATACCTGGTCCCATCACTAGAAGTGGAACGTGGGCACTGGCTTCGTACATACTCATTTTATAAAACTGTCGGTGTTCCATGGCCAGCTCGCCGTGGTCCGAACTGTACACGACGACGGTTTTCTGAAGGAGATCTAGCTGGCGAAGAGCCAGAATGATTTTACCTACGATGAGAGCAAGACAGATCTCATAGTTAACTTTTAGTTCATAGTTTATCACATTAAGTTCATTAATGAGTCTACCTTGAAGAGTTTATAAGGATGCTTCTTAACATTTGAATATTATCCGGAGTTTGATGTGCTTTGCTTCTCAGTTGCCAGACTAGAGAGGCAGCAGAAATAGCACCCACAGGAATTCTTGCTCAAAGCTTCTGTACCTGGAGATGGTGCTCTTGCTTTGTGTTTCTATTAGAAAATTTTATGGGGGGCAAGGGGTTGGCACCTGGCCCTTAGGGCCTCAAATGTGAAAACAGTGACAAATCTGTGGTCAGTGCTGTAGACAGAGACTGATCATCAGCACTGTATACAAAGACTGATGTCACCACTTACCCCCGAGCTCTGCACAATAAGACATCGTAAGTGTCATCACAACTCCTTTTCCCTGCTGCTTCTCCCCCTAAATTCCTTACAATAAAATATTTAAAAATAAAAGAAGTTCTGTTACTTAAGTACATAATATGTTTTATACATGGTCTAAGGTGAATCATCTTTACCCGACGCGGCTTGGGCAAGGCGAAAAGCTGGACACCCCTGCTCTGATTTAAGCAGTTGCCAGTTCAGGCTCAAGAAGCTGGCTGAGGGATCTGGGGATCCCCACCTTGGATGAAGGGCTGGAGGCAATATAGAAGGTCTACAAGTGTGACTTAGCACACCTTTGGGCAGGGAATAACTGGACACCAAAATTCCTCGGACCAGTCTCTCGGACCAGGCTCTTAAATTTCCTCTTCACTGTAATTATGGGAATTACACTGAGGCATGGTCCAGAGACAGTCATTCCTGATCACGTGATCATGCATAAACCTGTTCAGTATTTCCCACTGTATCTTTAGCATGACAGGGAAGGTCTCCGCTATCTCCAGCTTAGCAGCTCAGATGCCTACTACACCTTTACCTTCCAGCAATCCTAAACTTCTTAGAGTCCCTGATCCCACATCAGTTCAGTTTCTCACCTCTGTTCACACTGGTCTCTAGGTCAGCAGTCTTTTCTCCCAGCACTCACTTGTCAAGTTCCCACCTGTATTCCCTAGCTCCAGATCACCTTGCTGGCAAAGCACGCTCTGTTCTTCGGGACAATGTATCATTCTGTTCTCCAAGACCCCTGCCCTACAACATATTGTAATCTCTTGTGTTTACATTCATTCCATAAATATTCACTGAGCATTTACTATGTGCCAGGACCTATGTATACAATGCAGGGCACCACAGATGTGATGTTGAGTAAGATGGAATGTGTCTGTCCTCATGAAGCTCGCATCTTTCAGACAGAGGATAAGACAGAAAGACTATCAAATTAGTACTATGACTTAACAACATGATAATGTCTTAACATGAGAAGGATGCAGCTGGAGAGCTAACTTGGAATGGCTGGGGAAGACATATCTGAGGAGGTACTTTTTGAGTTGAGAGCTAAAGACAGAATAAGCCAGTCATGTAAAAAAAAGCAAAAAGAAGAAAGGAAATTTGAGGCAGAGGAAGGGGAAAATACAAAGGTCCTGAAGTAGAAGAATAAAGTGTCATTAAAATGATATGTGATTTCTTTTTTTTTTTTTTTTGTCTTTTTCGTTTTTATCGGTACCAGGGATCGAACTCACGACTGCCTGCTTGCAAGGCAGGCGCTTATGCCGCTGAGCTAAATCCCCAGCCCCAATATGTGATTTCTTAAGAGTATTTAACACCATGCCCAGTATAATAAATATGATTTGGTGACCAGACTAGCACTGATTTTAAAAGAAAGATACAGTATGTTCCATAAACTTTGTAACTTGAAGAATAAGCAAGTTGCTGCTTGTTTTTTTCCCCTGAAGAGACTAGAACAAGATTCTTGCTCCCTGGTAGCGATGATTATATAATGTTTCACTTTAACAGATACAGGTGCCTGGACAGGTGCAAACTGCTGAAAGCAATTTGTAGACACAAGTGGATAAATGGTCCCTGACATCGGTAAATACTGATGAGATGCTATTCAACAGAAGTTATGGGCTTATGATTAGAACACTTCAAATCTTACTCGCAATAACACTGAGTACTTGGAAACTCCTTATGACTTTTAATAATAAAACTTGCTATATTATAAATAAACATGTGGGTTTTTGCTTTCTGGGGCATAGTTTTCTGTTTACCAATAAATTCTTTTTAACAAATAATCATTGACTGTTCACCCTCAAGGTTTTCTTTATACAAAAGAGGTGCTACCCACGCTCACAAATGTAGATATGCTCAGCTCCGAAGTGCAGCAAAATAAATAATGTGATGTTATAAAATAACTTTGATTTTTTTTTGATACACAGTCTTGCTATGTAGTTGAGGCTGGCCTTGAACTCATTAGGTAGCCAGGCTGGCCTCAAACTCTTAAGTGCTTCTTCTGCCTCAGCCTCCCAAGTGCTGGGATTATATATGTGAACCACCGTAACTTGTTATAAAAACTGCTGTTTTGCTTAAAACTAGGGTTGTTTCATGTATGAACTAGAGTGCTACAGCTCTGCAAGTGAGCAGGAAAAACTGAGAATCACCTAACAGAGGCAGTGTTGGTTTTGAGCTGCCTTGAACTTAAATGAAGGTATAATTCAATACAATTCTGGTCCAGAATTTGCACAGGAAAACTTGAGTCCAGCTTTAATTTAGTGCTGCTCTAAAGGACTAAGGGAGAATGTGTTTGTTTTGTAGTATTAAAAGTTTAGAAGGAGTCACAAGACTCAGTGAGTAGACTTTGTTGTCTTTAAGAGTGTCAGCTGCCTTGTTATCCTTCATAGGCATAGCTGTGTTTGGCTCAATACTGACCCTTGTTTAAGGCTAGGAGAAAGTTTCATTCTGAGCAGACAACAGCCTTCTATAATCCTTTATGTATGAGCAAATATAAGCATTTCTGAACCTGAGAATTCCTGAATAGAGCTTTTTATTATTAATGAATGTTAAATGGTTTTTATGTGTCAAGATTCCTACAGTTCTAAGTTTCAAGTATCTAAGCAACTATACCAAGAAATGTCTCAACCAGCATGATCACAGTTTGTTGGAAAAATATTATTCTTTTTTCATTTAATTGCTTATTAATTATGCCACCTACCAAGCATGGCATCTGTCTCAGCACACATAGCATAATAAAAAGCTCTAATGTTCTTAATTTCTTTGTCTGTAAACTTCCCAGTACAGTTTTTTGTATAAGAAGAATAATAATCTACAGGGTGCATTTCTGACAGAGGCAACCACTTGGGGATCTTGATGACATCATGAGACACCTAAAAAGGCAAGAAAAAAATGTAGCTATGTTAGCAACATGTCATGTTTTCCAAAAACCATGTATAATGGACTCCACAATGTTTAATTACTTACAATAGAAGAAAAGGAAGATCAGAAATTGTATAAAAAAAGGACATGAAATACCTAAAGTAGGAACAAATTGTTAATAAAGGTTGAGTACCCTTTATTTGAAATATCTGGGGCTACTGATATTTGCTTAAGCACCCAGAGATACAGTGGAGATGGGACTTACTTTCCATGTGTATCTTATGTATATAGATGAAGGTGATTTTTTATACAACATTTTTAGTGCATCTGTGTTTTTAGTGCATCTTTTATATAAGATTGGGTAGAAGAATTCATTCTGATGCTCAGAAAGTTTCATATTTTGGAGCATTTCAAATTTTAGAATTTTGGATAAGGTTGCTCAACCTATATTCCAATAACAAAAATAAATACTAATATTTGCATATATATTAAAATGGTTGTGGAAAAATTATTTAAATTGTACATGTCAATAAAATATATATGCTGTATTGGAAAAGACAGTGTCCAGAAAAGTATCTAACTACTTTATTATTGCTATTATCATTTTTTTTTTTTTTTAGATAGGCTCTCTGTAGTTCAGGTTGGCCTTGGACTCAGGGTAATTCTCCTCAGCCTCCCGAGTGCGGGGGTCACAGGCATGTGCCACCACACCTAGATTCAACTACTTGAATATGTAGTTGTGTGACCAATACAAACCTTCAGAATCAATAAACTAGGAATCTAGATTCTCTAAAATATAGTGCCATAAATCACTGGTAAAAATGTCTGGGGTGCATTGATACATGGTGGTCCACTTGTAATATCAGCTGAACTGAATCAGTGTGGTGCTGAGTGTGGATGGTCCACCTGACAATTATTGCTAAGATAAAAAGCACCGGAAAGGAAGAAGCGGTGTTGTTGTTCCGTGCTGTTGATTCTTCTGTTGCCATTGGTTTCCCTGGAGGAGCTTGCTGAGCTTCTTTTCTGATATGAACTTGGCTGCTTTCATCATCAGAGAAGCTTGGACCCTGTTATTGCTGAGAATGCTGTGGTTTGCTTTGGGGGAGCTCAAGTCTTTACTGCTTCCTGGCTCTGGAGGGGAAGATGGTATACTCCTCAATCTCCAGAAGTCTGTCACCCTGGTTTCCTGGTATGAAGTCGGTTGTTCACATTGTCTGAGGAGTTCTGGACCTCTTTGTCGCTAAGGATGGCTGTGATACTCTTGAGGTGAGATCTGGTTCTTACTTTGAGTGTTGCTTCTTGGCTCCAGAGCAGAACCCTCAGTCTACTGGCACAGATCCCTCACCCTGCTGGCACAGACTTTCTAGCCTTTACCACTGACCCTGGGGCCTTCCCAGCGCAGATCCGCAGATCCGTAAAACAGACTTGCATGAGCCATTGTTAGGGGTTCTAGGCTTCCAGCTGAACTCGTGGAAGGTACTGTTGTGGGCTCTAGGTTTTCAGCTGATCTCATGAAGGTTATTGCCATAGGATCCAGGCCCTTAGTTGGATTCTCTAGGTCTTTAGTGTGTAGACAGATTTCCTGCACTTTCTTTGTATTTGACTCCTTGGTGACCATTACAAACAATACTGTAGATTATGCGTCCTGTATGGTCTTGTTCTCCTTGCAAACCCTGACTATAGCAATGTCCATAGGTAATCAGCCAAATATTTGTTAAAAACAAATACAGCTTTTTAATATACATAATATATAATGTTTACTTACAATGTTGACAAAAAATTATGCCATATCTTTAATTCATATATTTCTTTTAGTGATGTCATCTTCAAAAAGTCTAAGCATCTATTTACTATTTAGTTGAGAGTTATTTAACTCATTTCATGAACTGTAAATTTTGAAAATGGAACTACTTAGTATTTTTGAACAGCTATGAAATATCTAAAAGTATGACATTTCCTTTAAAATAAGGTGCAAGAAACAGCGTTTCTGCTTAGAGCTTTTAAGCTAGCTTAAAAGCTGCACATTTTAGGGCTACACATCCCAAAATACAGGTGGTTGTTGGTTCATGTGGTACTAACTTGTATGCATCTTGGTTACCGTGATTCAGTTAAACCACGTTACTATGGTTTTAGTTAAATCACATGTCCTCCCACAAAGAGGGTTCAAATTCCAGTTACCAAAGTATATCAACACTAATTACATAAATTACAAGTTTTCACGCTACTAGGCTGCTGGGTCTTTAGATTACAAATCACTATGTAAATAACAGATGGGCATCAAATTCAGTGACTAATGGTAATTTTTTTTTTTTTTTCAAACTATGGCTTCTGGGGTGTGCACAGAGAGTGAAGTGTACGCTTAGGCTCCCTGTTCCTCTCCCAGGGATGATGCCACTGGCAGTTTACTAAATGGATAATCAGAAGCAGAACTGGTCAATTAAGATGAGGATACAGTAAAGATGAAAAGTCATAAAGCTGGCAATCAGATGCACATGAAGTTGTACAAGAAATGGCCATGCTGGGATGCTGATACTGCCGCCATTCCAAAGATCCTAGACCCATAGCTAGAGGAAGTGAGGCACAGTCACTTTATTATGAAGAATAAGGATGGTCTTCAGGAGGATTATCACATCCCAGAGAAGGTGACACTGGTAAACTGTTCTCATTAAAGGAACTCTTGGAGATACAGCATGACGTCATAAGCACAAAAGGTAAAGTGCTGGAAGGCAATCAAATTCAGAACACAGTATGATGATTCAGAAAACAGAGAAGGTGCTTGGTCCATACAAACACTCACGCTATTCTAACTACTCTGTCAGCACAGTAATCCTCAGTGTTTTTAATTACTATTTGTTTTCATTTATATCTGCCCACACTGCTAACAGGATATCAGTTTCTCTTTTCACAGATGTACTATACACAGATATATTCAATTCAGAAGCAGGTTTCTATATTTCAATGCATTAATTTTTATAAAGCTGTGCTATCAAAGCAGTTATTGCACAAAGCAGTTTATATGCACACTTTTTACATTTTCCTTTAACAGTGACAAATGAGCTAATACCAATAAACTACAGATACAATGTTAACTTCTGCTTTTGAGCAGAACCTATAGAACGTACTTACTTTTTCAAGCCAATAAAGAGAGGTGCGAAATGTTGAAGACCCAAAGTTTTCCCCCGAGGATGGTGAAGGGTATGGGTGTGGTAAATTTAAGCCCAAATAGAGAACAAATGGTTTCGTGCTATTAACTCCTTCTGTTCGTAACCAGTCAACTGCCGTGTCTGTAATCTTCCAGTCCTTTTCCATCACTCTCACTTTAGTCCTATCGGGGATAAGGTCAACCATCGGCCTGCCTTCTTGCCTGAGTGAAAAAGCAACATCCCTGGTCCATGCTTCCACACGGTTACTGAGGGAGCAAAGAGACAGGTGGGTTGTAAGACATTTCTGAAGTTTAAATATGGACTGAGCGTACACACAGGAAAGCAGCATGGAAAACACGTATAAGTTCAGAGTAATTATACTGGAAAGCTATGAGGGCTAGGGATATATCTTGGAAGCACAGTTCTGGCCTAGGGTGCACAGGTCCTGGGTTTGATCCCCAGAACTGAACAAACATTGAGCTATACAAATGAATAAGAAACAGCTTTTAAAAAAAGTATTTGCTTACATATTCTTTAAAACTACGATAGGTTACTTAGAACAGTTAACTTTTTCTTATGGTGCTTAACAAAAATGTTTCAGGTTCCCCACTATTTTTCCTTATGACTGGATTTCCTAACGTTTTTCTTTTCTGTTATCATAACACAGCAGTTCTATCCATATCATTATCATTAAATCTCAATACTTTAAAAACTCTATCAAATTTGTATACTTCATGCTTTTGAAGTCTGTGTTTTAAACTGTTTCCAGCTATTTTTAAAATTAATTAATTAATAATTTGAGACAGGGTCTTACTATGTAGTTCACACTGGCCTTCAACTTGCTATGTAGCCCAAACTGGCCTTGAACTCTTGGTAATCCTCCTGCCTCAGCCTCCCAAGTGCTAGGATGACCGTCATGTGCCACCTTGCCTCGCCATTTTTTGTCATTAAAAGAACAGTGTTTCTTAAATTTTATGGATAAAAGGCAAAACAGAATTTCATCACAAAATAATAGGAGAATAACAATAGCTAACACATTGCATAATGTCATCCTCAAAGTAGTTACCCACAATATAGGATATGGGCATGAAAAATTCTCCATTTGATATTAGTACAAATCTTCCTAAAAGAACAATTTTAACCATGCTCTGAACTGAGCTAACAGTGATGCAAGGTTCTTATCTGTTATAAACTAGAGAGATTTTATTAGCTGATTATGTTATGATTCAGTAAATTCAATTTCTCTAAGTCCTTAGCCTTTTTGATCTTCTTACTTAAATATATGTAGTAACATAATTGTTTAGGAAGCAGTCCTGGACATTTTTAAGAAGTTTGTTTTTGTAAATTTTACCTGAGATGCAATATCCTATCAATTTAGAATCCATTCTAAAAAATCTGATACCAACTCACAAATAAAGAGTATTTTATATTACAACTTAAGAGAAATTCAATCCATAGAAAATAATGCTCTACACAGAATGAGCCAAAATGAAAGATTCTTCTTTTTTAACTACCTGCTGAAGGGAGGTAAAGAAACAGACGCAGCCACAATAAAACTATTTTTCAATGTGTTTTGATAAAAGTAAGAACTAGAATTTTAGCAGAATTACATCTTACCAGATTCTATTGATCCTAACAGATGGGAAATCCTAAAGTAAGAAAGTTTGTGAAATTCATTACACTATCAAAACAATATGAATTAATTTCTGTCTTTTGCTTCAATGTTGCTGAAGTCTCACTGTTTGTGACACCAATAGTATCTGGGGTAGAACTCAGGGAGGTTAAGGTAAGAATGATCAGCATGTGGAGATTCACACACAGTGTACAGGGACCAAAGTGCTTTCTTTCCAGCCCAGGAGCTTTATGGGGGGACATATGGCTGAGAAATTATTACAGGAGGGGCAAGCTGCCTGTCTCTGGAGTAACTCAAGATCGCTGTCTTGACTGTGCCCACTGATGACCCGGTGGACACTGTGATGTAGTGAAGAGCGATTCTTTTTCTTTCATCTTTTTGAGATAGGGCCTTGCTGTGTAGTCCAGGCTGGCCTTGAACCCATGTGGTAGCCCAGGCAGGCCTCAAACTCGCAGCCATCCTCCTTCCCTCTCTCAGCCTCCCATGTGTTAGGATTATAGGTGTGGGCCACCACGGCCAGTACTAGAACAAATCTAGATCAACTCAAGGGAAGACCTTCTCGCCACGAAGGGTGACAGTACTGAAGGCATCTGGTTGTCATCTTCTGCCACAGCAGTGAGTCAGTGTGGCTTCACTGAACCTTTCTGGGAATAAGCTTGTGCCTCTCCCAATGCATTTGCTCTCTATGTTGCTGAGATTCTTTTCACCCATGTTACCGTAAAGGTAAAATGACTCAGATCAAATTAGTGTTGGCCTAGATTTATCATGATTGCTAGATCTCAAATATGGCTTTCTTTTTGCTTTATGAAACAACTTGTGATTTACTCCTCAGTAATACAAACAGAAGATAAAATCACCTAACACTTAATCAACTAATTGTTGTGAAAATCTGTATGTATGCCACTGCTGTGTGGGTTTCCTGTGCCAGTGTGCCAAGCTCTGCTGCAGTGCTGGATACAGTCGGTCCCGGACAGCACAGGGGGAATTTAACTGAGCAGTTACATCTGCAGTAAGGCACACATTAAATGGATTGTGAGAAAATTAGTTTTCTTTCTGCATAGAGCAGAGCCTAGATGAATCTTCAGCTTCCTAAGACTAATAAAGATAACTATCTCAGGTTTTTGCAGTTCTGTGGAGATCTCTCCCCACTCAAATTTCTAATATCAGTAAATATACTGTAACAGAAAAAGAGAATCCAGCCTCCTGCTTAACGAATGTTTTCCCCTGAAAGTTATGAGAAAAACATGTTTCTTTTAATTTACAGGAGTGTCATCTGTCTTCCTTACATATGATCACTCAGAAAAACAGACTGTTTTAACTGAATGTATCATGTAAGTCCTGGCAAATTCAAGTGGGAACATCACTTTCCATTAATTAATGGAAATGCTCAACATACACAAAATATAGGGGTGTGTGTTTAAATTTTCAAAAAATCATCATAGTCTCCATCTGAGCCTCCAAATCTTCTGTGGAGTTCAACAAATCAAAAATGTTATTAACTGTAAGATATATTTATTAAAAATATATACCCTTAAGAAAAATGTGTTTCCCACAAAACTAACACAATTTTAAGGTGCAAAAATAGGTAAGTGTCATTACACACAGCTAAACTTTCATTAAACTTTAGCAGTTAAATGGAAAAAAAAACCAAGAACAGTAATTCGGTTGCAGGCTTGGAAGTATCACTTGTGTATTCTGAGAAAGTAACATAAGATTTATGATAGGCAGCCCTCAGAAGGTACCTTCTTGGGCTGCTTTAGCCAAGAACTTGTTAGTCATTAGAAATCAGGGTTCTAGAGAGCACAAAACAAAACAAAACAAAACTCTCAGACTCACCCACTATCATAAAATGTTATGCTGAGATGTACCAAGATTAATGCATGCTGGCTTAGATATTATATTTCAGTAAAGATAATAAAGTGGACAGTTCTAAAAAAACTAAGTTGCCAAAAAATAAAACTAGCCAAAGCAATGGCATCTTCCTTCATTATAAGGACAAGAATAAGACAAACTTATTATGGAGAAAAAATGACCCCAAATATACAGTATTTTAGAATAAAATAGTAGTGGCGATGGATGGGAGAAGCAAAGGTGTGCCTTAGGCTGCAGGGTAAGAAGGCTCTGGGCCAGCCTCCCGAGTTCTCCGGCTCCCTCTCCCTCTCCCTCCCTGGGGTTGTGTTTGGTAAGCCCCTACTGCTTGGCCGGGGCCTGGGAGGCAGAAAGTCCTGTGCTTCTCTTTGCTGTTTGCCAGGAGGTTCAGCCTTAGTTTTGCCTGCAGTGAATTTCTGCTTCTGGAAGCAGGCCTTTCTTTCTTTCCTGTTTCACAGGATTCAGAATTGCCTGTCGTGACTTGGCTTAGAACAACATCAAGCTCCGCAAGCAGAGAACACACCTAATTATAATGGTGAGATGAAGTGACAGAGGACGTGATTTGAGGTTTTAAACTTTTAGCTAGGAAAAAAAAAAAAAGGCAGTGGTTTGTTGAATTTCTCTTCTGACAGCATTAGAATGTAAGTTTCATGACACTGGAGACTTAGTGTTTTAACTGGTAAGAAAATACATACTATAACTGTCTAGAACATAGCAGGTGGTGCAATAAATGTTAGCTGAATGGATATTGCGAATATGTGATCTTACTTCTGTAATTTAAGTAAGGATCATCTTTTAGTCTTGCATTTTAAGGAATACTACTTAATATTAAATTTCTTTATTAAATTATTCTAGTTTTAGGATTTCTTCTCGATAAAATCAATTACCTCCTAATTCTATACACTTTTAAGTAAACATGTTTTTCCTTTGGCTTTGTTCTAAAATACTGACATATTAATTTACATGTGGATCTGATTCTCCAGATGATGGAAGAATAAACTTAGGATTTAAATGTCCCTTTGCGTGACATTCGTACGCTGTGCTGGTGAATAGGGAATACTTGCTTACACATGGCTTCTAGCTGCACATTTCTGACATTGTGGGCCTCGGAATTTCTCTGTGGAGGAAGGAGCTGGCCTGTGCACTGGAGGCTGCTTAGCAGCAACGCTGGCCTTTTCTCATCCGATGCTGGTGACCACAGTGGTGTCAACCAAATCTGTCCCCACACATGGTCACATGAACTCTGGGAGGGTGAAACTGCTTTGTTTCGATATTGGGAATACACTGGTAAAACAGGTTTACCTTAAAGCAAAATGATCAAAATACCCTATGAATTTACTACAAATGTTTTCTCTCATGATACAAAGATACAGCTCACTTGAACTTAAACCTATTATCAGTGCAGTGCATGTCATGGGAAGGAGGCAGACACACAGCCACAAACACTAACCACTTAATGATGCTCCACTGAAATGACAGATTTCAGGACGGAAGGACTCTGAAAGTCATCTACGGTAAGCTCATTTGTTGAAAGTAGGATTCTAAGTACGTAGATAAATAACTTTTTCATGAACTTATACTCAGTGAGCAGTGTTTTGGTGGGTAGTACTAACAACACCTGTTCAGCACCTTGCGGGAAGAAACAAGGATAATCTGGATTCGGTCCCCAGAACGACCACAGAAAATCAAACCAAACCAAAATAGAACAACTCCTGATACATCACAGAATATTACACAGAGCAAGAACACATAGGTGGATGATAC